CTGGGTTACATTCTTTCCTTACCTTTGCCTCGAAGAATCCCCAGTTTCCTTTAAAATCCAGCCTGAGGGTCATCTTCTGAATAAAGCCTTCCTTGATTCCCCCAGCTGTCAGCGCTGTCCCTCCCAGAACCACCTGGTATTCATTTGGTATATATTATCTACATCTTTGTTGATCAACCAATCAGTCATATATTATCTCTCCTGTCTGAATGTAAGCTCCTTGATGGTGGGGGCTATGTTACCTTTGTCTTTGTATCCCCAGAATTTAGCACAGTGCTTGACACATAGTAAGTACTTAATAAATGCTTGTTAACTGATCGATTAATTATGCTTATTTGTATATATCATATTAACCCCATAAGACTGTAAATTCCTTGAAGGCATGGAATGTACTGTTTTTCAACAACATATTCCCAAGACCTAAGACAGTTCCTTATACAAATCAGGAAATGGTTGAATTGAATAGTACACCTTAGATTATTCTGTAATAACAACTTAAATTTACACAATGCTTTTAGAATTTGAAAAGCACTGTACAAACATTATCTCATATAATCCTCACAAAAATCCTGTAAGGTAGGCAACATTATTATCCCCATTTTTCTAATGAGAGAATTGAAGCTTAGAGAGATTAAGTGACTTATGAAGGCTAACACAACTAGAAACTGTTTGAGGTGGGCTTCAAACCCACATCTTCCTGACTCCAGCACCATAGCCTATCCGTTTTGCACTTTCCAGTTTCCTGTGTGCTAGCCTGATTTCCCCAACTGGACTCTAAGCTTTTTGCAGACAGGGATCATACCATCTACTTGGTTTTTTTGTATCCCCCTTACTGTTTAGTGTAGTAATGGACACATTGCTTTTAGATCTGGATCTATGATTTCATTGATATAAGGAACTCCCAATCTGGAAACTTTCTTCAGCAGTGCACATTAGCATCTCTGGTGCAACATTCTCTAAGAATGTTGGGTCTGGGTCTGTGAGAGGTTAAGTGACTTGTCTTCTGTCACTTAGCTAGTATGTATCAGAGGCAAGACTTCCACCCAGATCTTTCTGATTCAAGGCCAACCTTCTGTTCCCTCTATCATGTTGCCTCTCAATAGAAACATAAACACTGAAGGAAAATACTGTTTGTCCCCTTTGTGTCTCCCCAACTAGACTCTAAGTTAACTGAGGATGAGAATTACAAATAAGAGAAGATATATAATGTAATAATATAAAATTAAATTGGGCCAAATGAGATAATATGTGTAAAATGTCTTCCAAACTTCAAAGTGCCATATAAATGCATATTTGTTATAAGGGTTTGGTTTCTTTTTTTTCCTCAATGGGAGAGGGAGAGAAAATAAAATTGTGTAAAATGGAATAAAATAAAATTTAAAAAGGTGCTATATAGATGTCAGCTGTTGTATTCTCTACAGGCCTAGTTCAGGAGTGAGTATGTACTGGCCACTTTGTAAAAATTCATTAAATGACCAACATTTTAATTAAAGCCCTCTTTGTGGTTTTAGTCTTTAGATTCTAGCAAACCCTTCTGAATTTGCCCTTTTTGTTTGGGAATATTGCAGAAATCTTGTGGGATTAGGAACACTCTGAGCATGAGCTCTCATTGTCCAGTGCCGATGCCAGGACATCTCCTACAAGTGTTTCTTTGTTGTTATTGGTTTTTCTTTTGACTAAGGCCTTAATACGAGCTTGTCAAGTAATCATCTGCCTATTCGTCTTCCTTCAAGTGGAACAGGGTATAAATCCTGATTCATTGAGGGTTCTGGTCCTGTGGGCCACTGAATATCTTGGTTCAGGTTTATGGCATTAAACGTGAGACTTCCCATTTTATTCCTCAGGCCCTGACTCTAGGGATTTGATTTCCTTCTGGTTAGCTTATACCCCAGCTTCTAGTCTACTACCATAGGCCTGTCTCTTACTAGCAGAGAAACAGGATCTTCATGTAGACAACTGGCAGTGACCTTGATGCCTACTTCTGTGGCTTTGTCTCTCGAACAAAGCAGGAAAAACATTCTTCTGCTCTCCTCAACTGCTTTGCCCAGAATAGGGGTGGGTGGTTTGCCCTGGGAGGAGCTATGGAGGTGAATATGCATTGACTTCCAGGAATATGGTGGGGGGGAGCACCTGGACTCAGGGAAAGTTGAGAGTGGTTCAAGTGTCAGAGTGGCTAAGACTGAATTAAAATTTTATGAGCAACAGACCAGATGCCATGTTATGGGGAAGTCCCATAAATGCAAGCAATGGGGTACAGGGAAAGTTCTTTGGTCTGTTGGTGTTTGGACATTTACTTTGATTCAACTTGCTGGTAGTGCCACAATTCAGGACTGGGGCAAATGGAAAGATCATAGAGAATTTGAAGGGACTTTGGGGGCCATCTTACCCCTGACCCCCTCATTTTATAGATAAGGAACTGAGGCCCAGAGATTACACAGGTAGTGAGAAGCAAACCCTGGATTCAAATCCAGATCCCCTGACTCCAACTCTAGCATTTTGTCCACTGTATCACACTCCCTAAGCTATGTAAGTTGGTGAAAAAAGAAGCTAAGCAGGAACCCTTAAGAGATTACTGAGGTTGAAAGCAGTAATGGGCACCAATGAATTTGTGAGGGAGTCTGGGGTTCAGTTGTTGTTAGCTTTCATAGACTTGACAAAAATGATAATTTAGTGGTGACTGGGCTTTCAAGATGACATCACAACATAAATCTTGATGGCTAAGGAATTTGGTTTGTTTGCAAGATTTCTTGTCTGTACGATGGAGACTTGGAAACAGTTTGGTAGCACTATTAGGAAAGACTAGGGAGCATGATCAAAGAGAGGAGAACTGAAGGAAAAGAGGGGTTAAGAAGTAGCTGAGGAGTAAATGAATGAGGAGCCTGATGGAATGGCAAGAGGCAGGAAAGACTTAGTCATCCTCCACACCTATATCACCCTTCCAGAAGCCCAGCTCAAGGCTCTCCTCGTCCACGATGCCTTCCTTGATTTCACCAACTTTGCCCTTCTCTAACTTCCTATTACATTTGAAAAATCCATCATACAACTTAAATATTATGTTGAACTAGCTACTCTGATTGTTACCTGTGTTTTAGTCTAGTCTTCCCACCCATGTTGTGGGCTCCTTGAGGATAGGAACTTTGCCTTATGGTTCTTACAGCATTACTGAGTTAGGGCCAGAAGAGACCACAGAGGGCAATGAGTCCAACTTTCTTATTTTACAGAAGAGGAAACAAATGCCAAGATGTTAAGTGACTTTCTCAGGGTCACACAGGTATTACATATCTAAGGCAGAATTTGAACTTGGGTCTTTCTGACTCCTGGTCCAGCACTGACCACTGTAACTGTGGTTTTGAGAGTTGCCTTGAGAGAGATAAAGGGATTTGGCCGTGACTATACAACTACCAAGTGTAGATGGGATTTGAACCCAGGTCGTCCTGATGCCAAGGCTATTCTTCTCTCCCTTATACTGGGCATGTCTTTAACAAACATCCCAGCATTTATATATGCAAATCTGAGTATTAAAGTTGTTACTTTGGGAGGTTATGCACCTATGCTAGCAATGTTGCCTCCACTTAAAGTAAAAAACTCCTCTTGTAAAACTATCTTCAGTTACCAATTTAGGAGCCATAGGAGAAAAAAACTGTATCCTTACTTTATGACTATATTTTGTTGATTACAAACAAAACAAACAAACAATCCCCCCCCC